CCCCTCCCGCCGGGCCGAGGCACCCCCGGAGCGCTGGAGGCGGGCCTGACCCTTGCCCTGTTTCCCGATTGTTACTGTTCTAAGCTGGACTTTTCCCTCGGCTACGTGTAACTAGAAAAAACGAATTTATTCAAGCGCTAGGGAAAACCCTGCCTAAAAAGCCCCGTTTGGAACCTTATCTGTTAAAATTCTCAGACTTAACGGACAACGCGTGCCTGTAACACCACAGAAATAAATAATATTTCAGAATCTGGGGCAGACCACCTTATAAACGTTGTTGTGGCTTTATGGGAACTAACTAAATGACGAAGTTTGCAGGATATGGCCCATATAAATTGCCTTGTAGTTTCCGGTTGCTTTTTTTTTACATAATTTGCACAAAGTTTATGAACAAAAAGAACGATGTCATATGCAGTGAGGGCTGCAGTGGGATTTTCTGTGGTAGCTAAGAGTTGGCACTGACCCCTGGGGAAGATTTGAAGGCACGAATGCTAAAAAGTATCAAGGGTAATTTTAGTTTGGTGAGTACTGACTGTCATGAGAAAATGAATAGCCTGTGGTGTTCCCTGCTTATTCTTGCTTTGGGTGCGTGGCAGGACTGGGGTGTAATCTAATCAAGAACACAGCCTGGGCTGCAAGAGAACTGTCCACAAAGGTTCGAAACCATGCCTGCATAAAGGATAATATAAATAAATAAATTTAACAACTGTTACAAATTTTGAGACTGAAGTGGGAAAAAAGTTAGTGTTAATGCGTTGAGGTGCGTCCTGCCTTTCTGGCTGTTTAGGAGAAGTGAATAGATGAGCACAGTGCTTCCTGCCCTGCTTTCCTGTGGTTCACCCCGGGCTGCCGGCTGCCTGCCTGTCCAGGTGTGCTTCCCAGCATCCCGAGTCACTGGCCAGGAGGAGTATTCCCTGTCCTGCGTGTGTTGGCAAGCACCATCTGGTCAGGCGAGAAAGAAGGGTAGTCTGGCTTTCAGCATGTTCTGTCCTTCCCCACACTGGTGTGGACATATACTGAGGGAGGAATTTTCTCCTTGAAGTGTTCCTAATCTTAAAAAGAGCTGTTAGCCAGCCCGAATGAGAGGGATCTAACATGAGTGGAAGAAACCTGGGAGGTCCTTTGCTCAGCTTCCTGTGTGTACCAAGTGATAGACTTCATACAGTTGCCTCCTTAGAAGTGCCCCCCACCCCCCTGTCAGTGGTATGGCATTTTCAATCTGACCTAGATTACCTGATTTGCCAAAAGGCTGTTAATTCCAAAGAGGTCACTTGGTTTGGTTTTACCATTTTCTGGGGTTTAGCTCTATTACCAAGAAGTTTTTCTCCCAAAATTGGTTTTCATCCAAGCCCTTAGCTCTTTAGCATGTTTTTCTTTATTAAGAAAATCATTTTTTTGTAAAACAAATCACCACCTCCACTCTTCAGCAGAATGTAGTAATTCCACCACTTTCTACACTAAAAAAAACACACATTAAATTACGGTATAGTTACATGCATCATTGTTTTTATGAAGCATTCAGTATGTGTTCAGTGCAGTGTAAACATTAAACAGGATTATTCTTCCCCCGGTGAATTTATAGTCTGAAAGAGCTTCGTAGGAAGGAGTAGTAATAAGATATCATTAAAACACCGCCATTAATTTAATCCCTTTTTCTTTCCCTGTGGTTAATACTCATTTGCTGTTGATCATGACTGGTGTATCCTGGAATGTCATGCAGTGCTGGTTTATGATGTTACAGCCCCCAGTTGTCCACTCTACCCCTCTGCAGGAGGTTCTTGTTCAGCATGAGTGGAAGAAGAGAGCATATGTCTGTGTTTCAGCTGCTGCCATGCAAAGCCATGCAGCATAGCTGAAACCCACATTTGATGGTACTCTACACTAAGACCTTGGTTGTTGTATCAAAGCACAGTTCCTTCTGTCCACCTTGGCTTCCTATAAGGACAGCTGGAAATACTAAAGTCTTCAACAGCTGCAGCAAGATTTTCTGGAGCTCACCTGTTAAAGCCCTGATAAAAGACCTTGCAAGATGAAAATGCAAACAGGGGCAGCCAATTTTCACTGATAGCTGTTGGATTTAGGTGCCTAATTCACTTTTATGTCTTTATAGTAGCATCATTTCAGGGGGGAATTCTGTAGCCAATGGGATTTTTTAAGAGATTGGAGCTTCCATGGGCAGAATACATCGATGAATCAATACCAAGGGAAGCAGGACTATTGAACTAAAGGAGTTGACAGGTTTGAAAGTTTTTAAGTTTATCTGCTTATTTAACGAGTCACACTGTAGTTGTCTGCCCTGAAACAATTTCTGTTCCAGTTTCTGCTCTGAATTGCACACACTACTTGTCAGAGAAAATATTTCAGACAAATTTTTAAAAGTCGCCACTGAAAGCACGCTGCTTCCTGAAAATAGGTTTTGCTGAGTAGGCTAGAACCACTGCCTGGAAGTTGGAATTTAAAAAACCAACCAAACAACAACAAACAATAAACCTAGAAAAAACGCATACTTTTCTTTGGGAAGAAAAGATACTGTTACAAAGATACACATACTGTTCTTTTGGTATCTTGGAAGTTGTCGTCAAGCACAAGTTACCGAATTTCATGTTAAGGTTACTGATTAAAAGTTTTGGAGCTGCACTGTAGAGGAGGTTAGCATAGATTAATCTATTTATTGGCTCTTTCTGGCCTTAATATCTGTAGTCTGTGCCTGCAATGGAGTGCAACAGCAGGATTGTGCTGGCAAGGACTAGACAAGTGTGTTGGGTAAATACGGAAGGTGTATTGATTGGTGGGGGATGGAGGAAGTATGGTGGCTTTATTACTGTCTTTATTGAGGTAAATTGATTTACTGGAGGAGAGGGAGAAGTTAATTCTTTGTATTAATCATCCTGTGTTCCAGGGCCCAAAATTAATGAGCATCACTTTCTCTGTAAAGGTGTTTTATTAATGTAAAAGAATGTTTCTTTGGTTATTGTGCTCTGCTTCTCTTCATGTCTTTTGTGCTGTTTTTAAAAAGTGGTACAGAGAGAGCTGTTTATGCAGACTGTAATTCTGCTTTTGTGTTACACACAGGTTAGGACTGGACCATGGCAGTGCAGTTCCTGCGGAAGGCATCTGTGTGGTGCAAGAAGCGCAAGGTTACGTTGTTGGCCGTTTCTTGCACGGGGCTGTTTGGCGCTAACCTTTCCTATCACCTGTTTCCTGAGCAGACGTTCAAACTGTTGCATGAGTGCTGGTCAGAGGGGCAGCCAGCTGAGCTTTCACAGAGGCTCTCTGGCGTCTTTCAGGATGTCCTTCAAGATACTCATGTGAAGTCCCCTGACTCGTATCGAGCCTTTGCAGCTTCTGGCTTCCACCCTGTGAGTGCTGGAATCCCCTGGCTGCCTGCAGGCTCTTTGGTGGGCATCCCACCTAACTTTGATAGCACAGCTGAGGATAAAAAAGGAATAGTCAACCATGTTGTTGTGATCAATGGCAAAGAAGTAAACTGGGAGAGCGACGAAGGTATTGCTCTGACAGAAGCTCTGACGTTCTCACGTGAAGCTCAGAAGTTTGCCATTGCCAGAGAAGTTGTGTATTTGCAGAAGGGCAGCCCTTTAGCAAGAGCAGCTGTCGCTCCAGCTTGCTTAGCTGGTACGTTTCTCTGCGGGAAAGGTATAAAACTACTTCTGGGTTTATCTCATGGCCCCAGGATACTTCACAACATCTGTAACCTCATAACTGCTGCTGGTGGACTAATGTGCTATTACGTTTCTTATGATGCATTGACCTATCACCTAGACTGCAAGGCTGACAGAAGGGCAGCTCTTGTTTCCAAAGACTATGCCAGAGGTGGGGTTGAATTTTATGACAAAATCTTGTCCTGCAACAGGGTTCTTCGTCATCTTATGGGCAAACAAGGGATGAAAATATATGCCCCAAGTGGTAACCTTTTCCCAGGGCACTGGTTCAGAATAAAGTATACCCCATACACTTACCGAAGAGATTTGATTATGAATATTTTAAGAGAGTTCCAGGCATAGGAAGGGAGCACTTGAATTTTAAACTTGTGAATTATGTATTCTCTTGGAACACTGCTGTGCTGCTTTTTTTTTTTCCTTAGAATTTTGGAGTTTATTTTTGCATGTAGTTCAGAAGGGATTATTGCATATTCTGTGAATAAAGAATTCTCTAAAATATTAAAAGCTTGCTTCAGAAATGCCCTGTTCTGTGTGCATCTGAAATCACAGGACTGCTGAGGAGGGGAACTACTCAGACACTGCTCTGGAATTCTGCCTCTTTGCTTGGCCTTCCTGCCAGTGCAGTCTGGCAAATGGTAAAAAAGGTAAATGGTAAAAGGGTAAAGTCCAGTGGGGGGTTTTGGGAGTATTAGTATTTAAACTGAGGTGTTTATATGTATGTTTGCCATTCCTCCGATGAGACAACCCAGAGATGTTTAAAAAACTGGGCAGTCCATTGTATCATGCTGTTGTATGAAACAGCAAGACACAGTGTCTCTGTTCTGTGTAAGTTCTTGCACCATGTAAATTCTTATGCTGCCATCACTATTCATCAAGAGGGCGTGCTAGTTATACTGCAGTTCATACTAAAACAGCCAGATTATTACCAGTACCTGCAAAATTTTGCTTACATTTAGTTCTGCTTTCTACGTCCTGAATGTTTCCCAGCAGTGGCAGCATGTAACAAGGCTGTCATGGGTCAGTTGTTTTCGTACAAGTGGGATATGCATGTTCAGGAGAAGGTGTTCTGTTTGCATTGGTACAGTTTTTATTTAGTTTAAAAATACATGTAGAGGTATGTCACCTTTTATGTTAAAGAAGGCAAGGTATAAGAAATGTCTGGCATTTGGTGCAGAAACTGGTGAGGTCTGTGATGAAGAGTTGCCAGAGGAAATCATGCTCCTGTTTCAGACTAGCCTAAGAAGGTTTTGTCTGGCAGAACTGAGCTTTGCCAGGGATTACTAATCTTCTGGAAAAGTCTTTGGTCCTTGGCAGTAAACTTTCCACTGTAGCCTCACTGTGAAACTTTTATGTGATCTCCAAGATGTTAGGTCTCAAACTTTATTGTTCCCTCTTTTCTGTGTTTCTGTTGCAGCCGTTCCAGTAGCCCTCCATGGTGACATCACAGTAGTTCTCCTCTTCCCTGTTGTCCTTCTTACAGGAAACTTCTATTATTTTGTACCTTCTCAGTCATGTATGTGCTGAGTGTCCTCTCTGACCTGGCTTTGTCCTTTCTTCTGCTACAATAATAACTGTCATGCCTCTGTTTGCTCAAAGCATTACTGAGATCTTTTTTCCCTTTGAATCACATGGTGACAGAGAGTTGATGATATACTGGCTGCTGCCACGCTGGTGTGGCTTCATATTGCTGAGGCCATATATAGAAAACAAGTTTGGGTTTCTGCTGAAATAATCTGTACCATGTTTTTGTGGACTCCCACCTATCACTTGGAGTTGTCCTTTATGGATCAAGTCATGAGATGCTTCTTAGGTGCTTTCTGGCTGTGAGGTGTAAGTTTATTATTCTCATGACCTTTGTGAAGGAGTTTGACACAATCTCCTATTCTGTGGCATAAAAGGTGACTTTACCTTCAGGCAGAGGGCTTTCCAAGCTTCAGGCTAAATTTTATTTGACTTCCAGGTAAATCCAATATAACAGGCCAAGATTTTCTGGTTGAGTGGTGTAGTGGCTCAAGACTGGAATATAATCCCTGCTTTATATAGCCTTTGAGTTCATTTCATCCTCATGTTATTCTTTCAGAGAAGTCAAAATTCCATCAAATGTTCTCAGAGAGAACTTGGCTTGCTTGTTTTATGTTGTTTAAGGAGATGCTACTACATAAAGAGTGCAGAGAGGAAACAGAGGCCTTCTTTGAGATTTACAACAAGTAGCAGTTTAAACTAAACTACAGAAATCTGCTTCCTTCTTACCACTTCTTACAGCTGCTTTTCATCAAGGTGACTCCAGCTCGTGCTATTATTGAACATTCCCAGGTTGCAAGCTCCAGTGATGCTAATGGGTATTGTAGTTGTGCACTTTGCTATACCTTTAGAGCTGGATTCTCCAAGAAGCTCCACGTATCTGTGAATGCTGTGTCTGATTCACCCATCTTTGAACTTGTTGGGTCATATTGGTGTTGGTAAGGGACGGCTGGTTAGTATTAAGAATAGTATTAAGCTAGTATTAAGACCTTGCCTTCCAGAAGAGCCCTTACACACTTACATCTCTTTATAATCAAGGTCCTATTTTGTCACCATCTGTAATCTGGAAGCATAGTACTGGCAGTATAAAGGAAATGGGAGTTGAAATCACAACTGCTGATTAAGATTTCCCAGAATTTTTGGAATGTGTGGATTATCCTGGGAAAGGTTTGTATCATGTGTGTGTTACCAGGTAATTGTTGCTTGAAAGATCACCCCCGTGCTCATTGGCAGTTAAGAATAGCACAACTCAAATACACAGCCATAAAAATAGTCATGCAATTTTTCTGTAGGTAGGATCTCCAGTGAAGTCAAATAGGAGTTCCACATACTGGTGGTAGAAATGGTCTACTGTTGAGAGTATGATAGAAGCAAGCACCCCAGAATTAACTGTGAAAATGTTGGTTGATCATGCTCTTTTATGTTAAGGCCAGTCTGATGTGGGAAAGCAAGTTTATTAAGGGGCCTAGAAGAGCCCATGTGAATCAGTTTGTCAGTAGAGTCAATGAACAGCCATACAGTCTCCACCAGCTCTGACACTGGAAATCTGAGGAGTTCAGAAAACTTTTTTTAGCAGCAACTGGCTTCTCTAATGCTGCTTAGATGAGACGGACTTGATACATTTTATTTTTCATGTCGAAAAGCAACAGAAAATGTTAAGCAATGGGAATTGCTAGAAGATGTGGTTATGAGAGGTCTAAGCCAAGACGCTGTAAAAGCGAAGGTGTGAATGAAATAATGAACACTCATAAAAAGGGATACTGTCTGCAAAAATGAAGCTTTCTTTCTGTCTGGCAAAGTGATTAAAGGATGAAATAGCAGTAGCAAATGACCAAGAATGAGTTGGTAGTTTATACACAATCTAGTTTAAAGAGAGATTTCCTTGACCGGTTTAGTTATGTTATTATCCTGAATTTTCTAGATAACTGAAAAGAAAATTAGCCTTGTGACTTAATCTTGTTATAAATGTAATGCTTACTGCTTCATAAAGCTTTAGTGGGTAATGCTGCAAGAGACGAGGGCCACTTAGGTGCTTTGCTCAGAATTCCCACTGGAGTGCCAGAAGTGCAGGGCCTAGCCCACATGTTTCTTTCACTATCCTAAAAACTGTGGTTTCTTGTCATGGAGATGCCTTCCACTTGTTTAATGTTCAAAACCATAAAACTGTCAGAAACAGAGCAAGACTGAGAGCTAGACAGATTTCTGGAAGACAAACAAACTGTAGAAATAGTGTGATGTAAATTAATTTCTGAATCAGCTGCTATGGGTATCTGTCTCCTCTTGCAGTTTACAGGAAGAAGGAGCTTCAGAGGTGGCTTCCAAGAGAGAAATTTCCACTCAGGTGGCATGTAAGTAAAGAATGTCCTCTGTGATACTGGCACAGGGGCTTCAGTTGAAGTGTAGCTGTCCTTTAGAAAAGGACTCTTTATTACAGTAAAGCACTGTTATCGTCCCAGTTAATATTAAAGTGGTTTCCAGAACTTGACAGGTAAGATGGTGAGCAAACTGATGGCGAAGCTGTGGAGGCTGTTGCCGTATAGGGTAAGCTGGTGGTGTTGGGAGAGGTGATGCTGGAAACCAAGCCCACTGCTGTCCTTTTGCCCTTGGCCGTAGCAGTTGTGAAACAACCACTGTCACAAAGTGGGGCTTGGGTGGGAGCGAATTAAAATGTAAGAAATCAGATCATGATGATTGAATCACAGGCAGTTTTCATTAAAGGAACAAATGAAGAGGATCCATCTCAGAGTGAGTACTGCCCTGTGAAGCCCTCGAGGGCATCCCTGAAACAACTGTAGGCATCTCCACTATGAGGAAATGCGATTCTTAGCAAGCTGCAGACACTGAGACGTATCCCTCAAATCCGTTCCTGTTCCTCAGAATCTTCATGTAGCAAGTGTGATTTTATTGATATAAAAATTACTAAGTTGCAGACAACCTGCCATCCATGCATCCAGTTCGTCCTTGATTTCATTCATCCAGATACATGCTGGAAGTGTATCTAACTGAAAGGTGGAACACCCTCGTGAGCAGAGGAATGCTGATGTAGGAAGACATAAATTAAGATCTCAGAATAAGAACGCTGTCAGGGAGAGAAAGAAGCTGAATTTGGGGTTTATCAAAAACTAGACTTAATACCAGAAAAACAACATAATTATTCTCTAGGAATTGGTATATTATACAAATGAAATCTGAAGGAACTGAAAAACAGCGCCTTATGGATGTTTTCCTGGGCTGCTTTTCCACTGAGAATGTATCAGTTTGTTTAGCTGAAGTGAGGATATTCAAGCTGCTCAAACTGCCAACTCTGTAAAATGAAAAAAGTTACTAAAATTTGGCTAGAAGTCAGGCTGCCTTTCCCATCTGGAAAAAAGGGATTTTTTTTGGACAAGCCAAACTCTTCAGCTTCATAGCCAGAAATTAACACTGGATTGTCTCTGCAGTTGGGAGCTCTCACTCTCCTCAATCACAAGTTTGCCATGATTTCTCCTGGTCTCCAATCTTCAGAAAGAGTGCTCTTAAAAACTCAGTTTGTGTCCAAAAATGCTCTTCAGAAAACACAGCTAGCCCAGATGTGTGCTTTTTTCCCCCGACCTTAATCTTTCTGTACTCCCTGCTGCAGGGACCATATGTGGTGCTATGTGCTTGAGCAGTACTTACTATAGTGTGACCTCTGCCTAGTAGCTTAACAGGCAGCTTCCTATACATGGCAACAATTAAATGTATTTGGCCTAAATTTTGAAAGAAGAATCGTCCCTCAAATCAGGATTCCTAGAGAAGGATTTTAATTTTATTTTTAAATGGCTGAACTTTCATCATCTGAACGTTGGGCCCTTTTCCAGTCCCAGTGTGGTCACTACCTTCT